TATTCTGTTTGGCTTCTTTCCCTTCCTTTAAGTCTCATTGCCTCTTCCCCTACATTTCCTTGCTTTTGCCCTCTGAATTCTCTCCCACAGCCCACGGAGGGGGGGAGCTGTGTGGGTCTATCCATCCCAGAAGCAAAGCAGCAAAGCATCCTAAGCTGATAGTTTTGCTGACCTTCTTTTTAAAGCACTTAACAGCAATGGTGGCAGCAAACTGAGCATCTGAAAACTTAGCTTTGAGCAAACAGATTTCTGGTAGGAAGAATCACATTTTATTCTCTCAGGAATACAGATTTTTGGTGATGCTTCACAAGAATTAGAGCCAACTGAAACATTCAGAGTCTGGTCTGCAACCGAGTTCAGGCTACAGAATGTGTTTCTGCACCAGAACCACACCACTTGTCCCACACACTAAGTGTTGTCCCCAGCACAAAGCTACAGTGCTGCTATCAGTAGAGCTATTTATTGAAGATAAAAGCTGTAAAAATGAAACTGGAGAGAAAATACCCCCATAGTTTAGTGCTCAGATATCTGCAGAACTAATGGCTAACTCCAGTCTCACTGCAGCCAAAAATTCCATAGCCAAGGACACTGCCTCACAGAACTAATACTCAACCTAGCAAATAGACCAAGAAAACTTGATTCCAGCAGATTTATATTTTCTGATGCAAAACAATCCACTGAAATCCCCACAGAATTCTGCAAATGTGCTCCTTTTTTAACATTCCATGAATATTTGAGACATTTTACCACCTGACAGCATCTACTACAGCATTCTTCAGACTTTGTAGCCTTCCCTTGGGAACAATTTCATTGCCCACAACTGTAAAAGATCACTAAATTCTGGTTTACATGCCTTCTCCACATGATGCATGATGTGAGGCTTGATCACGACTGATAAACCAGCTCATTTCTAACCACACTGTCACAAAAATCAGTAATTCAATACTGCATTGTAAAATTTGTGATTCTTAGCAGCTACCTGAGGATTTGGTTTATCTCCTTTCGAAGTGACATGGTGGGAAGTAATCAATAACTCCAAGCACAGTGGCTTTGGACTCAAGTGTCAGTACATGTCTAATTAATCATTTATGAACACTTCTTTGAACCAAAGCTTACTTTGAAGGTGGAATTAAGTATGCTTGAATCTTTCCCATCATAATATAACCACCTTACAAATTGATCACTGGAGAAAATTACAGCATGTAACATCAGTGGAGAAAACCCCTAGAATGGTAAAAACAGGTACAGTTTTAAGTTTATAGATCTTACTCAGAGGCACTGTTAAAGCTCTGTCTCTGTGGCCCCATTCTCTCCAGGCATGTGTAACTCCACATTTATTCTTTACAAGGTATCTTACAAATCATTTTTACGGAGACTCTTAAACTATTATGGCAGCAGTCCTATTGCAAATGAAGCGGGAGGACAACACTTGACTAACCTAGTGTAAAGCCCTAAGGCAGAAGAAACCGTATTTTTATGCCTACCAGCAATTCCTCAAACACTGAAGCTCTGCAGCACATGCACACAGCTGGCACATTGTTTGTTAGAGAGTTTAAAGATGGCACCACAAGTTAACAACAGCTTTAGAAAGAGCTTCTACTAGGGTTGAATTTCCTTTAAAGCTACATTTATAGTAGATACACAAAGGATTCCAGTGTGAGAGTGTTACTATGTTTGCTGTTGTCGATATATTTCAATAAATTTTGACTTTTGAAAACAGGACAAATATATCTAAATAGTTTTTTAATGAAGAATCCACCTAGCTATCTGCCTGAGTAACATTAACTCAGATAATAAAACAGCTGCACAGCACTTAGAACCCTGTTTAAGACAAACTAAGACCATGTAAATAAAGTTATTTGCATCTCTAAAGACACGTAGCTTTTTGTTTCGCTATTAAACAACTGTTCAACACAACTGATGTGCAAAACTTGGAGAGAACATACAAGGGGGAGAGGTTCTGCTCTTCTGACAAGGTTCTAATTTCATCCCCTCAACAAACACGCTGCTAATGGCCCATTACAAACAGGCTGATGAGCCAGCCTCTCTGCAGCCTCAACACATACAGGCTTTGTAACTGAGAGTTACTGGAAGGATCCTCATTCTCAGTCCATGGACCCATCAGGACTCCACCTCAGTGCCTGCAGCTGGATCAGGTCTGAAGTGAGTGACATGAACCACGGACACCTCTGAATTCAAACACTCCTCATATCGTATTACTTTGAAACTAACACCAGAATCAAAACCCAGTGAGATCTATTAACAAATTCTTTTGGGAGCCCTAAAGCAAAATTACTGTGAAGAGTAGAAATAATGCTAGTAAAAATATAATGAAGTTACCCATTCATGAAAACACGTTTCTTGACAAGTATCATAAGCATGCAGCCTTCTTTGTAATACCCCAGAGGTTCTTTGCCTCCCAGCAGCCACAGCCTTACCTCTTCACAAACTGAAGAGCACAGCAAAGGAATTGAACTCAAACAGAAATGCCACAGACCAAGATTTCCATTCAGTTTCGTGTCGAACCACAGAGGTTACATGTCCAATAGAGCAATATACAGTTTAAGTTTGGGATCATGAAACCAAGAGGGATAAGATTAAAAGGTCCAGATGTATTTCTGCAGCTGCAGGGACAATTCACGTTTTCTGCCTGCTCCCACCACATTCATAAACCACCACGGGAAGACAACACTGTCCAGCCTCCTGCATTTCCTGCATGAAGAGCTTCTGTAGCTCACCAAGAGTCTGTCTCATTAAATTATGTGCATAATTAACTATATTGAAATCATCTAAAGGATCCAGCTAGACCAGCGAATGAATTTCCAATTGTAACTGTATTTAAAAGAAAATAAACCAAGTTTAAGTAAGTTTGGTCTATTCTTGTAACTTATCAACCTTGAAAATTAAGACATTTTCTTTGTGCAGTGAATCAAGTTGTTGAAGAGAACCACTGAAAGTAATGGTATGTCACATTTGACATGTTCTAATCGCTCACTGCTCTCATGCAACTTGATGTTAGAAGCATTTAAGAATACAAAGTAAATCACTATCACCATACAGTCTTCTCCATCATAAACATTAAGAGTTCAAGGATTGAAATAATATATACTATAATTCCAAATTCTACAGTGCTTATATATCTACAGAATCCATACAATACATAACATATTTCTTTCAACAGGAAGCATCAGTCCCGTATCTGGCAGATATACAGTGACCAACTTGCTTATTGCTCTCACTTTCCAACTTCAGTGCAGATGTCCCTGTGATGAGTTACACAACCTCTGCAAAACCATTCAAGATGTTGAGCACTCCGTATTTAAGACATTCTTTGCACACCTGGTTTTGTGCATTTCTTCCACATAAGGTAAGAAAAGCAAGCGCTTTGATGTTTCACAGTCAACAGACTGAACACTGAGCACTTTAAAACATCCTATTAGTGCCAAATACAGACATTCCTTACATCTTCATGACTCAGGTGACAAAATCAATGCCAGCTCGTGAACAGAAGTTCTAGTTACCAAGCAGCATGATGTAACATTGCATTGTTCAAGGACAAGTTACTTCAAATACAAAAACTAATGAATTATCTGCTTCAAACCTCAGTATACCTGCGTATGAACCTCACTTTCAAGCAACAGCAGCAATAAATCACCTGACTGACAATACAAACAGTGATTTAAAAATACAGCCTTATCAAAGCACAAAAGCCTGACTGGTTTGTGTTCCAGCCAGCATTAACAGAAAGCTAAGCTCTCCACCTTTGTTCTAGGTTAGCATGTGTGAAGTTCACAGGGCAGAATTCACACGAAGAAAGGCTGAAAGAAATACCAGTTTCAATCATGAAACCTTCCAGGTTAAGCAAGCACACACTGTAGAAAGCAGTAAGAGAATTAAAACTGATTTCAAGAAACCATCCAACAGTGAAAATCATCCTACCTGCTCAGCTACCAAACCAGGTACATCTGCATAGGTGTTAGCAAGGAAAGAACTCCATGCACCACACTGCTTCTCAGTACTGCAACAACTGAAGCCTCTAACCTGTCTAGGCTTCAGCTACTCACAGGCACAGAGTTTGTTGTCTAATCATCATTTTTATACCTTGAAAGTGTGTCTTCTGTTTATAAGATTATCTTAGCAGGGCTGAGCAGTTTAGGAGGAAAACGGGATGCTAATTCCTGGACAGCAGATGTCTGTGTTTCCTTTGGAGCACTCCCTGAAGTGACAAGCTCATTACAAGGTGCGCTTGGTTCAGGAAAGCACCATTACAAATCACTCCTGATTTTACCCTCAGCTGCCCTCAACTTTCTACCATGTGGCCAAACATCTGCATGAGCTGACAACTATTTTAAGGAAAGTTCTGTGTGCAGGGACTGAAAACCCAGAGGTTACTCAGGAGAAAGTCGCTGCTTGCAACTTCTTGCTTCCACGCCCGTTTAGCCAGTTCTCCTACTTCATCCCACGGCGCAGCGCTGTATGTTTGGAAGTTACCCAAGTCACTGCTTCCAGAACTTGCCCTGAGGTTTCACAAGTCCCAGAGCACACTGGTAGAAAGTTAGTTAATATGATATAGATGTGCTTGCCCCCAGATGTCAACTGGAGCTATAGAACTTGGGAAGATGAAGTTGGAATGGAACAGATTTCTCTTGCATGCATAAGTTTAAGAAAGAGTGGCACGGTAATGTTCATCTCCCCTGCAGGACCATGTCTTCATTTGACTCTTTGAAATCTTAAACGAAGGCTATGTATTTTAATAGAGAAAATCCAAAGTAAATGAAAGCGGTGTGTGCTTGCATGTAACATGCTCTCACAGATGCTTCTGAGGGGAAACGTGAGGCCATGGCAAATAAAAAAAAGAAGCGATTTTGAACCCCCATGTTAAACTCAGCCCAGCAAGTGCTGCGGAGTAACAAACCGCTTCCAGAAGGAGCCCTGAATCCAAACACACAGCACAAACATAATTAATAACCCAATTAAATAAATGGCAACATAATGTATACCTTTGCTACCATGCAGATGTTCTGGTGGCATGTTATTTAAAAAAAAAGCCTTTTTCCTGCTATTTTCCCCATCTTGCTTGTCTCCCTATCAGGAGCTCTGTAAGAGAAACAGTGAGTAGGTAACTGAAGAACAAAAATAACCCAAACTCTAATAAACCCTGGCTGCTCACTGTGCTTCAGCTGTGGCCTTAAAGCCCCCTTGAGGCTCCTGCACGGTGCTGAAACTGAGCTCAACGCATCTGGGGAACCGGGTGTCGCAGGCTCCTCTGTTAAACCACTCAGCTCCAAAAGGCATTCGGAGGACACAAGAAATGAGAACTATCCCTCCGCTGGTGCTGCCAGAGCCCTGCAGCCCGCGCTCCGCACCGTCCTTCAGCCCCGCTGCCTCCCCTGCCCGGCCCCACGGCTGACAGAGTCGTTCTGCCACTCAGCCCGAGCCCCCGCCGCCGCTGAGGCACGGGAGGGAAGGTCCTCTAGACCCAACCCGCTACCGACTCAGCCGCACGGGCCTACGACCCGGCCCGGAGGGAGAGCGAGAGGGCCAAGGATCCCGCTTCTACCGGGGAGGGGCGCAAAGCGCTGAGGCAGCCGCGTTACCCCGGCCCGGTGACCTCCAGCGCCTCGCTCCGCTCCACCCCGGCCGGACCGAGCGGGCACCCCGCGGGCGCTGAGGAGAGCCGTGTGCGGTCACCGGTGAGCGGATCCGCGGACCCCCGACCCGCCTGGGCCGCGCCGGGCCCGCGCGGAGAGGAGGGGCGGGCGCTGCCGCCCCTCTCCCAACGGGGGCAGCGCTGCGGCAGCGCGGAGCCCCCCGAGGGCACGGCCCGGAGGCATTACCTGGCACCGCGCTCCCGCGACGACCCCGCCGCAACACCCTCCCGCCCCGGCACCGATGACACCGAGGCGGAAGTGCGGCCCTCGCAGCGGCGGAGTGATGCGCCTCTCCACCAATCGCAGAGCGCAACCGCGCCCGCCCGCTGCCGAAGCGACGAATCAGCTTCCCCGTCCACCTGCCCGGAGGCGGGGCGAATGCTAATGAGGCGCCTAGTCTCACGGCCCCGGGCCGCACCACTGCTGGGGAGACTGCTGGCCAATGGTGCGGCGGAGGGGGCGGGACTATGCAGATAAAGGCCGGGCCGGCATTCCCCGCGGCGCTGGGATGCTGCACCGGGCCCGTTTCGGACGGGATGGGACGGTGCAGTCTCTCGTGTAAACGCACACGGTGATGCTGGAGACGGTATCGGCTGTTGTGAGTTGTTGGATGCTTGTACCATCACCGAGCTGCACAGCGTGAGCTCCGCTCACCACGACTACACAGAACAAAGTGTCTTCATTAATAAGGTGCAAAAGAGAGATTATTTTCCTGTTCCTCAATGCCGTACTATGCAGACGCTGGTGTCTGTAGTGTTTTGCTGTGCTCCAGTAGGATTTTAACCACTTTTCTGGGTTTTTTCCACTGTTGTGGGGTTTTCCATCACATTCCAGCGCTTCAAGGTACATCAATGGTCACCCGTAGGTCACAGAACACCACAGGTGGGTTTTCAGGCCATGCCTTCACCCCAGTGACATCCTCCCTGTCCAGCTGCTGCTCTGAGCACGTTGATGGATGTGAGGAGGTTAATGGACATCTGGAAGTCCCACAAGGTCACCAAAGCCAGGGGCTGGAACAGAACATGATTTGCCTCACCCTCAACTTGCACTTGTTGGTACACAACAGGTAACTGGAGGCAAGTTTGTAATAACCCCCTTGACGGTGATTGCTGGCACGCTAAAGCAATGGAGAGGATTTGTAGATGCTGATGCAAGTATCAGAACTGTGAGTCAGGAGTTTAAAATCGATTTGACTCATTTCTCCCGGATAACACCAGTTCTGCTCGTTTGATTTACCATCGCCTTTCTGAGCACAGACGCTGCACTTCCTCCGGGACCAGAGAACTCTTTTTCCATTGAAATGTCTCCATCCTTCCCTTTTCACACCTGAAAGCTTAGAGTCATAGAATAAAATCACAGAATCAGAGTGGTTTGGGTTGGGAGGGACCTTAAAGCTCATCAAGTTCTAACCCCTGCCAAGGCAGGGACACCTTCCACCAGAGCAGCTTGCTCCAAGCCCCATCCAACCTGGCCTTGAACACTGCCAGGGATGGGGCAGCCACAGCTTCTATGGGTGTTCACCCATTCCCAAGTTGCAAGGCAGGTGTCACTACACTCATCTTTAGGGAACATAAATCTTTGGGACTAGAGGATGATCTGCACAATTCCAAATCTGGCTTTAAGAGTTTCCCAGTGTGCCCAGATAAGTGATTCTTTCTTTTCCGGTAAGCCCCAATTCAGCAGCCCACTTCTGGATTGCTCAATGTCATAGACTCAACATTAGGCACAGAGCTTGTTATTACAGCTTAGAAGCAAAGGCAACAAACAACAAGTAAGCATGAATATAAAGTATTCTCCTACTGAACAGGTCTTTGCCATGACTAAGGAGCTGCTCTGGAAGAGTTCTCCAAAAGCATTAAGGAAAGAGAAATCCACTGATACCTGACCAAGGAATATTGAATTTGTGCCGCTTTTCCAAGTCTGAATTGAAGCTATGTTCACTCTGAGCCTGCCACAAAACCCGTTCTCCCGGGCATTTCATGGGCTAAATGCTCAGGCTTAGCAATAACAAGGCTCATGGACAATTTATTCCCTTGTTAGATATTATGGGACTACTCCCTAACAATGTAAACTCACAAAGCCCCCAGGCTGGGCTGGCAGAAGAATCTAGTTCTCTGGTTTTCTCCCTCCTGTGTTGGCAATGAAGGGATAGAACAGTTACTTTTTAAAGGAGCTGGCCTGGAAGATTCTGCCTTGCTGGCAGGAGTTTTGCAGCATTAAAGGTAATTAAAACGGGGCTTTACAGTGGGAAGTATTGAGCAACGGTTTTAGGCAGAGGTGTGACCATCAGCTCCACCTGTAATAAACCCCAGTGCTTCTCTCCTGTGGAGCAACACAACCCGCTTAGAAGACTGACCCAAGGAAACCTTGTCACTGCGGCACACTTACAAAACCCAAATTGCATCAGAGTAAGGAAGGGCTGAATGGAAAACTGAACCCCAGTGATCCTGAGAGATAGAGATAATGCAGGGAAATGTGGCACCTTACAGCAAAACCACTGATCGTCTTTCACCAGTTGTATGTGGGCAGAGACAAACGCTCCTTCTCTCCTCCAGAGGAGCCACTGGCCAAAGGCAGCTACTTCAGTCCTAACATGTATGGGCTGCCTCTCGGTACAAGGGAGCCAGGGACCACTTTCAAAATGGGAAACATCCAAACAGACCTTGTCTTCCAGTATCTTCTCTTCCAATACCTAAGGGGTACCTACAGGAAACCTGGAGAAGGGCTTGGGACAAGGGCCTGTAGGGACAGGCCAAGGGGAATGGCTTGAACCTGCCCGAGGGGAGACTGAGCTGAGCTCTTAGGCAGAAGCTCTTCCCTGTGAGGGTGCTGAGGCGCTGGCACAGGGTGCCCAGAGAAGCTGTGGCTGCCTCATCCCTGGCAGTGCTCAAGGCCAGGTTGGACACAGGGGCTTGGAGCAAGCTGCTCCAGTGGAAGGGGTCCCTGCCCATGGCAAGGATTGGAGCTGGATGAGCTTTAAGTTCCCTTCAACCCAAACCAGGCTCGGATTCTATGATTTGATTCTGTGACTCTATGGGATCTTCCACAATCGGAATAATAAACATTTCCTCCTCTATCCCATCTCATCTCAAAAGCGAGGCATCCTGAAATCAATCCGAGGTCATTGTGTATTTTGAGCTGCCAGCTCTAAGAAAGGGAGTATATTGTGAAAACTCGTGTCCCATAGATTATTTCAATATAAAAAAGACATTAAGAAAATCAGACATTGCTAACACTGATAAAGCTTTAGTGAAAAAACATGGTAGTGCTGAAACCACATGAATTTTAACCAGAATCTTGAAGAAAAGAAATTCAAGGGAAAAAGGAATCCATAAATAATGAGGAACATGGCAAAAGCTGAATAAGTAGAAATAGCCAGTCTGTTAAAAGGCTGAATAGCATGTTCTTTGTAACAGCATGGAAAGGAAAAGACACAACAGCCTGTATGCTAGGCTGCAGTGATAATTTCCCTGGGAGCTGCACCCATTCAGCCAGGGGTAGCTCAGGGTCTGAGCCTCTTCTCTTCAATATAACATGAAGTTATATTCGTGGTCAGGTTGGGAAAGCTCCAAAGCCAAGTGCTGAGTGTCCAAGGGGCTTTCCACAGTGAGCAGAAAGCTGTCTGTAAAACAAGCTTTCTCATAGAGTGTCAGTGTTACCCTCAGCTGAATCCTGAATTCTTCTAATTCCAGATTTGACCTCTGGCACTGGAAAATCCCACTTCTGGAGCTGAGCTGAGCTGAGCAGGAGCTTGTGCTCAGGATAAAACCAGTTGGGCAAAACTAGGTCACTTCCATATCCTGTCTCACCCTCCCTGGGATGAAAATCCATGGTTTTCTTGCATCTCCATAGCAGGGAAGATGGGGATAGATCAGCTTTGACTCACAGCTTCGATCCCACACACACTTGTGTAGGGAAGCACCACAGTGGGATACTGCTGAGGGCTGGGTACCCAGGAGCTTCAGCTGCCTCTGTTTCAGGAGCAGATCTGAAGGCTCTCTTTTCCCAGTGCCCATGAACTATCACGCTGCCTCCAGTTGATCTGGCAACAATCAATGATGCTTTATATCCTAATGGAGGTTTATCTGTTAAACTTGGCCACAAGAGTGTCTTCGTTAGAATTAATTACAGTGTCTGGGTTTAGCTACGTGGGAGGCAGCATCCAAGTTACCCTTGTACTCTTCAGACCAAATTTCTCTCTCTGGATGGCAGTACTTACATCAAAGGTTAACTCAATGGCTTGTATGCTTGCTTTCTGGAAATTCAAGTCAATAGAAGCTAATTATACTTCTTGATGCAAGATCTGAATTGACGTGTGAGTGGAATTTAACCTGAGTGCTTCCTTGGTAACTTAGCTCTGTCTCCAGGATCTCACCAGTCAGAGGGAGCTGGGTGGGATGGTGTGCACGAAGCAGGGTGAGAGGATGCTCCTCACAGCCCACAGTACAAGGGATATTTTCCTTTCTTACCAAGTCAGAAAGTCAGATTTCCACTATTACCATTCTACTAATAGGAAGGTATTACTGATGTTAGGTAAATTAATTTCATTAAGTTATTCACTGAACTAGGTACTATTAATCCAGTAGTGTGGTGTTTCCCCATTCCCTCTCCATTTTGCTGGCTTTGTGGATGAACAGACAGCAGAGGAGTGTTTCCTATGGCATGCACAGGTATTATCCAAGTGTTCCTGATGACACATCTTCAGTGTGCCCTACAGCATAAGGAAGAGCCACCGGGGTTGGCAGAGATCACAGCATGAGGACTGCCCTCACACCCAGGGTACCACCTCATCACGATGCAGCACGGAGCTGAAGCATCTACTGCCTCTGGGAATGGGCTCAGGTCAGTTCAGCCCTGCAATTTGGTATAAAACCCCTGGATTTTAACTCTACCTCTTGTGGTTGCCAGCAAAAAGAAACCCAAAACGCCCCAAACCAAACCCCAGTGGGTACAGCAGACTTTAAGCTTTTTTTACTGATGCACTACAGACTGTTCCAAACCAATTCAGCTTTGTAAAATTAGCACCTTTGATCCAGCAAATACTTATATGCACGTATCACTTGCTGGGACAGTCTCCTCTACTGAATGTAACAAAGTCCTGTTCACTGGTCCCTAGGCAACCACTAGAATAAAGTAATTAGTAACTACAGATTCACATATATCCATCAAAATGAGACCCAGGTTAATTTTATGTGTCTTCTGTGCTTGAAAATTAGCACCTGAACATTCCCCAAATTATACTCATTTACAGATTGGTTTTAAAAACAAGTATAAAAAGGGTCTCATCAGGAAATCACACAGAGACACACAAGAAGTCATAAACCA